ATTTATATTTACCTCACAAGATAGGAGATCATTTTCTCTGTTATCAAAACTGAGTATTTTAATACTCTGTACAATTTTTAATACTCTGTACAAACCCAATTTCTATCTTTTATGGGCTAATTGTCTGACCATCAGTCCCACTCAAGTCTTTGGAAATAATGAGAAAACTATCTTTAAAATTGTCCTTTAAAATAACACACAACTGAGTTACCAGGAAATTTAAGGACATTTTATCAGTAAAACAAAATAGGAACAGTGTTACAGACAGGTTAAAATGCTGCCAGGGCATTGGTTAGTCCGTGAGAATTTCCAGTGTAGCATCAACCACCACACAGGTGAGCAGAGAGCAGAGCCAGCTCCGCACTGTGAGCGTGTGCTAGAGACCGCTGCACCAACCCAGTTCCCCTCACGGCTGCCTGTCCAGTGGAAAAGTGGACCAAGACAAGTGATGTGTTCCACAGAAAGAAAAAAAATATTTGGCTGTGTTGCCCTTTGCCCTGCACGGACTGAGGAAAGTGGTTCTGTCTGAAAAGTGAAAACTGCAATCTGAGTCAGAACTCATGCTCCCTGCAAGAAGGCAAAGCTTTCATGGGGAAATGTTTAGAGATGATTGGTTGGTAGGTCATAGCTGCAGTACCTGGCGGTCACAACCCAGGACCCAGTCTTAAGGAATGTGACTTCACCTCATGTCCCTAAGAATCCTCAGTGATGAAACACACACACACACACACACACACACACACACACACACCACACACAACTGCCACACATAGAAGGAAGCAGAAAGCATTAGCAGAATAAAAAGTAGTCATATTCACAAGATTTTAGAAATTGGGTTTACAGATATAGAATATTAAATATTAAATAAGCATGTTAAAAAATAAGTTTAAAAATGTGCTTAAGAAATAATTGACTATAAAAATGACCATTTTATCTTTTAAAGGACCAAATAGAACTTCAGGAAATTAAAAATGTAAAATTAGAAATTAAAAACTCAGGGCATAACATGAGTGGTGCATTAAATCAAAGTGACATGAATATTGGCCAACTAAAAGAAAAGTGCTGAAGAGATTACCCAGCACAGACCAGCGTCCATGCCCCAGAGAGAGAGTCTGGGGAGAGGAGCAGGGGAGAGGCACAGGGCCTCTCTCAACATCGGACAGTGTCCTGGGCGGGGTCAGAAGCGTAAGTCTGACCAATCCACAAAATTCAAGGAAAGTGGGATTTTCACTCAGACGTAATGGAGGAGTGGGACAAACGATCCCACCTAGAAGACTCATACTTTACTATAGAATGTTAAAGACAAAGGATCTAAGAAAAACACCCAGCAGAGAGAAAAGACAGATGGAGGGACAGTTAGAATAGCAGCTGGATCTCCACCCATCAAGGGAGGCTGAAAGACTGCGGAATAATGCCTTCAAGAATTCTGGAGAAAATGAGCTAAGCCCAAGTTGTGTGCTCAGCAGAACTGCCTTTCAGGAAACACATTATGCCACTGGCAGGCTAAACAAAGTTAAGAGCTGCTTCTTTGAAAAAACTATCAAAACTGACAAACTTCTAGCAAGAGAAAAATGAGCTAACAAAAACAAAGAGATGAACACGGACTCAGGTAAGGTGCCACAGAGTTATGCAGCTAATGAGCAAATAATGCAGACCTCCTTTTGCACAATTATGCTTTTGAACAAAACCTATCAAAATAAATTAAATATGGTCAAAATAACTGGGACATATAATCTGGAATTTAATAGATGTTCTCCAATATACATGAAAACAGAACACAGGGAGACCAAGGTAGGGGAATCTACCAAACAGATGTGAAGTTTTTCTAACACTATTGTGCAATGCAGTATTCTGTAGCAATAAGTAAGTTGATTGTGCTCCAGGTAATAGAGATCAGTGAAAAATGGGAAAATTCACAGACAACATTACAGCACTTGCACATCAAAGTAGAAAAACATGAAAATTGTTACCTATTGCAAATCAAACACAAAAATAAAAGATAAAATCATTAAAGATTTTTAAATGTTGTACAAAACCATAAACATTTTTATTTCCCCTGGGTAGCAAATATTTCTTTAAGAAAACACAAAAAGAATAATCAAAGTGCCTCCTAAATTTGAGAGCATTAAAAGAGGAATTCAGTGTTCAGCACATGACACTATATAATTGTGATGAGTCACAAATGGGGAATATATATTTGGAACACATAACCAACAAAAGATTATTCTGCAAGTGAATAAAATGGAATCAATATGAAAGAGAAAACTTCTAAAAAGCCATAGTTACAATATAGAACAAGTGAAAGAGACCAATGAAATGTTGCTGTGATAGTCAGTAGTAACAATTAAAGAAATGTAAATCACGAAGAACACCAATTTATATTCCTCATATTAATAAAAAGCGAGAAGGCCTGTGTTAGTGAATTATGGGGATACAGTGGAAATGGTGTATGCATTGCTCCCCACTTCCAGTCACCGACTGGTGCGACTGCTCATGGGAACAAGTTGGGGTGATTGATAGTGTGGAAGGCACACATGTTCTAGGAATCAGCGGTGTCGCTCTGGAAACTTTGGCAGGTGTCCACTGTGAGTCTTTCCAAAAGATTCATGTAGCATTTGTTCTTTTTGTAACAACAAACCTTAAAAATAATTTAAGCATCCACTGGAAAACAATGATAAACCATAGTGAGCATGCTGCACACTTCACAGAATGCACACTGCACACTTGGAAAATAGAGAGGTCATCATCATCCCCAGATGAGACTCTCATAGCGTGCAACACAAAGAGTGCAGATCAGATGGTAAATCGTTTTGGAGCACATCCACATGAAAGCCAGAATAGTCAGGGTAAGACATTAAGTGAACACAAAGTTGTAAACAAAAATTCAAAATATTGGTTATCTCTGACGGGGCAGAAGTGTAAATCAGGGCAGATTCTACTTTTTTACCTAAAGGAGCGTTTTGCTAGTATTCCTAATACAATTCGTTCCTTATTACCTTCTTTCTTTCATTATTTACTTATGAAATGGAGAACACATAAAAACATGCGGGACACAGGGAAGCGGGCAGCTCAGTGAATTGCTCAGCAGGGCAAGCAGGCACCTACACAAGCTGCATCTGCAGCCCGGGGGCGACTGCTCGGCCCCTGCGTCCCTAAGCCCGATTCTTTCGTTTGCTCCCATGTTGTGAAACTAGCAGGATAACATGGTACGGTAATTTTTTGTTTGTCTCCCTTTTTTATTTGCATATGTCTGTGATACAGCATGAATGCCTCCATCTCGAGGACTGGGACAAACAGCCACACCAGGTCTTGAGCCCACCCCCTTCTTCAGACCCTTTCCTGTCTGAGCAGTTGGCCAGCACTGCATCGGGGAAGGTCCTGCCTGCCGCACGTGTGACTGAAGGGACCAATGGTTCTCTCATTTTCACTGAATATTTTTCCATTGCAACATTTCTATCTAGTCTAGTATGGATGGGTATTTGCAGTGTGGAGTAATTATGAGTAATGATACTGCACCACTTTGCCATATTTCTGTTTTGCATTGATAGTCTAAAGACTAAAATATGTTTTACATGTTACTTCACATTATTAAGCATTACACAATAAAATAATGTAAGAACATCGCTGCTAAATTAGCAGGAAATAAAATATCTTAATTTTTCTTCTTTGATTACTACTTATGGTAAGCACTTATCATATTTTTATTTGAGTATTTTTCTTTGTGACTTGCCATTAACATTCTTTAAACATTTTTCAGTTGTATGATATGCTTTATGACTTGCAAAAATCATTTACTGATAATTATATAATCTTTGTATTATCTTATTGGTGGAAAAAGATGCTTTTTATACTTCCCCATGTTTATTATTTACAACCTTAATGATTTTTAAAACTTAATGTTACAAAACAAAAATATCACTATACAAATTTCAGAAAATCAAATCTATAAACAAAAACCCTTCAGATATAGACAAAGACCAAATTAATTCCCCCTTCTCCAGTAGCTATTTTGATGCATATCTTGTGTGTGCCTGTGTGTGTGTGTGTGCGCGCGCGCGTGCATTGTATGTGTCAGTATTATAAAGCATCCCTTATTCATGCACACACATAATTGTACAAAAGGAGTTTTTTTTGTGCGATACAGATATCCTCTTATAATAAACATAGATTCCATTATCATTTTAAAACATTTTTGTGCTGTTTCATTGTGTAAGTATGCAAACTGTTGCTGCAACAAATATACCACTTGAGGCTGCGTAGCAGCATCAGTTTGTAAGCGCTGGGAGCAGCAATGTAGAAAATGTCCCCAAAGGCAGAGCTTGAATGCTGGCGGGGAAAGCACACAATGCACGCATGACTGTTCTATAGTATCCGTCATCACACCACTGTGAAGAGGACAGACAGTGGTGTGAGGTGCCAGGGTGTTTGCGGGGAGGGCCTCTTGGTGAGCAGGGATGTAAGTGAATTCCAAGAATTCACTGCACCAGTCTTTGGGATAAAATCAGATGCAAGTCTCCCAGGTGAGTATTTTTGTCTTTGATCAGACGTTGGCTAACATTTCGATTATTTCTAATTATTTAAGATTTTAAACAAATTTGGAAGAACCATCATGTTACAGTAAGTCCTAAATTTTTAGGGATGTTCTAACTCTTGGTCTCTAAGTTTCATTACCTTTGTTTGTCGTATGTGTCTGTGACTGTGGTTGGAAGATGCAAATTATAGCAAAGGACGTTAACCCACTGCCATCCCACTCCAGGTGGCAGTTCAGACTTACAAGGGGACAAAAACTTTGAGGAAAAATAAAACAGTTTTCAAAGAACATTCATATATGCGATATTTAATTTAGAAAGGAATTTTAATAGGTAAGATGACACGTTGATAGGTCTTGTCCTTAGCTGTATAGAAATCATCCTTTTTATGCCACACTGACATCGTGGAACCTTTCACGGAGTAGCTTAATGAAACATGAACTTTGACACACAGGTGTTCTTCCTCCGCAGGGAGTAGATGCCAGATCCCCCCCCAGGCCCTTTAACGTCTTACCTGTGAAGACCAGGTGGAGCCGTGTTGGCGTCCACGTTCTGCTGTTTGATTTGGAGAACCTCCTTGAGCTTTTGCTGCCCGCTCCCCAGGGGAGCGCTGACCCCTCGGGCTCCTTCTACGGCAGCGAACTGCTAAGAAGAGCCCGGGGCACAGTGAGCAAGAAAACGCTGACCACGAAGAGGAGCAGAGCAGCCTGCGGCACCGCCTCCCCCGAGGCCCAGGCTCCCCCAGCTGGTAGGGCCCAAGGCGAGGACGCCATCACATTCCTGGAGGAAAATGACAGCGTTAAATGGCAGAAGAAGACAAAGAGCTCCAAAAAGACACATCCTCAGCCCTCACGCAAAGTGAACGCCAGCCTCCCGCTGGATGCAGCAAAGTTGTTCCTCTCTTGCCTCCTGCCCTGGGGTGTGGACAAGGAATTAGACAGCCTCTGCATCAGGCATCTCAACATCTTAAAGCTGCAGGGACCCGTCTCTTTAGGACTGGCTTCCAGCGAGGATCACTTCTCGCTGATGCTGCCGGGCGGGGACTTATGCGACACGGAAACAAAGACAGAATACTCGAGGATGAATTTATTTTCCAGAAAAGTGTTGGACTTGTCAAATAAATACACAGCCACTCTGCCAAGCCACCTAGGAACATCACGAGGACTGGAAAATGGCTGTGATTGTTTGCAAGAGTCCAACACCATCACTTACTTATTGAGCAGACTGTTTTTAGTTAATAAATTAGTTAACATGCCTTTAGAATTGGCCTGTAAAATTGACAGGTAAGATGCACCTAGAGACGTTGTCTATTCCATTTTGCGGCATTATGTGCTTTGTTCAGCTGTAGTCTCTTTTCTTTCCCCCTTCCCTTCCTTCCTTCCTTCCTTCCTTTCTTTCTTCCTTCCTTCCTTCCTCCTTCCTTGTGATGGGGGTAGATGTGCAGCAACTTCTTTAGTTCCAAACACAACTAAGAAAATCTTCCCATTAGTTTGTTAGGGTTGAAGGATAATTTAGCGGTGCATTCATACGTTTTTAAGATTCATACATTCAATAAATATTCATTGTTATAATATATACCAGTCACAGTGCTAGGCAGGTAATGAGTCATTAGACAGAAATATACATGGGTGCATAAACACCGTGAAATCCTTTATACTTGATATGAATTGTGAACAAAAAATATTCAAATAAATTCTTATATATCTCATACATTATGAAGAGTGGGAATGTTTGAAAATTTCATATCTTAAGTTATGCTGTTGAGGTTACTTTGGTAGAGACTCTGCAGGGGTGTATTATGGGAAGTAGTTTAGTATTAATGAAAGCTGTTACTGTTTAAATGTTTAATATTTGCTAGTCCCTGTGTAATACCTTTACAGACATTTAACATGCACAGCCAAGCTGGGACATAGGTATCATAATTTTGCTTATTGTACAAATGAGGACCTTGAAGCTTACACAAAGAGGGAAAGCAAGCCGAGCTTGATATAAGAGCGATCCCCAGTCTAATCCTAGATCCTGTTTAATTGCGGACCCCGCTCTGTGTGGTTCCATCTTCCCTTGATAACATTCACGTAGTTTTCCATAGTATGATGTTAAGGGTTGAACGTGGTTCTCTAAGTGCTTATTAAGAACCAAGTCCCCAGCAGCGGCCAACAGAAGACGTATTTTAACAGTTATGATTTGGGTAGCAATTCATCCAGAGATAAAACACTGCACAGAAAGCAGAAAACACTAAAATAGGAAAGGGACTAGGGGAAACATTGGTAGTATGAGTAAGTACCGTAGGTGATCAGAAAGAGAATGTCAGGGTGGGCTGACCCCAACAGGAAGCCTGTGTCAGTGTGAGTCACCCATGGTGCAGTGGAGAGGATGGCCCTGCCCTCCCGGTGCCAAGGAGCGCTCAGCACCAAGGCCTGTGCCAGCCGCTGGGCAGACAGAATGACTGCCCGTGGGGAGCCTGCAGCCCTCGGAGGTGCGCAGGGCTCTGTAGGGCTCAGCGTTACCCTTCTATCTGTTACCATGCTCCCGGTTACACATTTTCATTTTCACCTTGCCGACCCTAACAGAAAACAGACTGGTAGGTCTATGATTCTTATATGCAGTTTTAATTTATTTTCTTATCCTTTGTTATTTATTTTCTTATCCTTTGTTTTCTATTTTCTTTTCCTCACTTTAAGGGCTTAATTCTGTTGTATAAATTTCAGAGTGGCTTTTTTTTAAAAAAACAAAAAAGTAACCTTTGTTCCTGTTATTAAGAAAACCATGCAGCACCAGTGTAAGATGAGACAAAGAATCGTCCTATAGTCTGAGCCTGGGGACCACCCCCCGCCTTGATGTCGCACTAGATAGGAGACAGGGAATTCACTTGGCCTCTTGGCCTTACCTTTCTCATTTACAAAATGATCTGTGAGATGCGTGCGGCTGGATTTCCTCCCAGTTCTAACCCTTGGGCTGCTAGCACAGTTTCTCTTCCTGACTGCGGAGCTGACCTGAGTCTGCCCGAGTTCGCTCTGTGCAGGGAAGACGGCTGTGTCTGGGTCCCTGTCGGGAGCCCACGGTGCTCAGCACACCATCCTTTGAAGGGCCTTTAATTTGTCGCCATGCATTTGTCAATTCTTTTTTAAAAACTCTCTGTTAAAACAAACAGATGGCACCCTGGCAGAGTGAGGAGGAGAAGCTACTTGTCTAAAGCACTAATTCCAAATCCAAGCTGCTGTTTGAGCCCCATTATTTTTTTGAAAACTCAAAACAGTATATATCAGACATGTCATGCCAAATCCTTCCAACAAAGGCCATGCCGCTGACCTCTTACTGGGTGGCAGGGGCTCCGAAGTCACTGTAGGCGTGGTGGCAGCACAGGAAGTGGGTGGCCTCCGAGATCGTCCTGAGGGCAGCTGGAGAGCCCTGAGAGCCCGGAAGCCGAGAGTGCCGGAAGCTCCTCCTGAGAGGCAGGTCACAGGAACACCTGGCAAAGGAAGATTCGCAGTTCAGTTGGGGTTAAGGTTTTAGATGGAGCAAGTTGGGAACTAAGATTCAGGATAGAGGTTAATGTAGGAAATATTACCAAAAATAATCCATGCTCACTTTCCATATCTTCAATGTATTTTCTCAAAGTAATTTGTATACTTCTTAATTAATCTCCTTTAAATCTTTTTCAACAGATCCTTCAAGGTGGAATCTATACATAAGGTGAAGAGTCCTGTGAATGATATTTTGCATATTTCAAGCTTCTATGGCCACTTAAGAAATGGTAAGGAATTTATCAACACAGATGTGATCTGACTTACTTTTTCCTGTGAAAGAAAATAATTACTCCTTCTATAACTGGATAGCAATGCTAAAATAAGTAATAGCATTTAAAACATAGATTTCATCATAGGGTTTTTCAAGGGCTTGAAATCTGAAATTTCAGCAAAGGAAGTAGATTAAATTAAGACCATATGTAATTTATTGCAGTTTGTTTTACTACTGTCTGTTGTCAAACTCTGGGCTATTGTATTAGATCATTTCACTGCTTTTTCAGAAGGTTGCTTTTCTGAGTAGCAGCCTTAAGTTCTCAGTAAGGACCTCAGTGCGGTTTCCTTTCCACACCCTTGGCCCATGCCTCTCCCTGCCCCGCCTGTCCCAGCCGCCGGCCCCTGCAGGTGACAATTCTGTCGTTCCTTTTGCTCGCACCGGAAGCTCTATTACTATTTCTTACCTTCTCTTCCACTGGTATCCCACACCCAGTCACCGGGTGACCGTGTGGCTCCCCCTGCAGCGTGGGACGCCTCCCACCTCCCAGATGGGCACCTCCGGCCTCCTTGGAGCCCCACCTGAATGCCCACAGGGCTCCCTGTGCTCACTCCCTCGCTTCCCAACCTAGCAGCAGAGCGCTCTGTTAGGACCTAAGTCACATCCTTGTCTTCTACCTATGACCAGCCCTAGGCCTCTTTCCCACCTGCCCCTTCCTTGGTGAGCTCTTCTCCCGGACCCTCTTCACTCCCTGATAAGTACATGTCACTCCCTCTCCACTCCCTTCTGTCATCTGTCTCTTCCCACTGGAATATGGGCTCTGTGGGGTTCTATTTTTGACAGTTTTGGTCACTGCTGCAGTTCCTAGAACAGTGCCAGGAAGGAATTAAACAAACAGTTCTCGACTTAGTGTGTGAATAAAATGGACAAGTGAATTGAACTAAACCTGTATAGTGGATACACAACGCTGAGGCAGGAGCGTGCAACATGCTGGGGCCCAAGATCCGCTCCCTGCTCAGTACTTGCGTACCCTGGGTGGCTTTTGCCCCTTCCAAAGACCCCCTTACCACGAAGTGAAGGAGAGAGGTCCAGGCTTGAGGAGCACGTGGTGCAGACCGTGGTCTGGTTAGGGGGTGCACCGAGCCCACTGTGGGCCGGTTGGAAGGAAGCCTGCGGCGTCCTGGAGCAGGGCTTTTGTGCACAGCTCTTGGTGGCGGCCGGCCCGGGGCACGGGAGCGTGTGCCGGGGCTTCTGTACGCCGTCCCACTAACGCATGAACGGCCTGTGTGGGGGAGGGAGCCCTGCTGCACAGTCGGGGACCAGGGCCCCTTGGGCTGGGAGGACCCTGGCGTGGCCACGCTTCCACAGCCAAGGGGCCGCATTCCCATCGAGCCCCATGCTGGCCCCCCACTGCGTGGCCTTCCGTGGGGTCCCTCCTCTCTGCGCAGGCCTCTCTGCGTGTTGTCTTTCCCTTGTGTGCGGCACGCGGTGGGGTTGGTCACTAGCTTTTGCCTGTCAATACCAGCAAGAAAGGGGTTAGAATATGAGGGTCACACAGATGTGTCTGCAGGGATGAGGAACTGCTCACCTTCCCTCACCAGAAGGCCCGCTGTCCTCCACCGCCCCACCGCAGTGCTCCAACTGTCTTCTCTTGGTTAGGCTCCCTTTGTAGCACTTCAAGGGCAGGCAAGGACTAGGCAGACCCAGGTTTGTGTTGGCTGTTAATACTAGGGAGATGGGAGGTAAAGGAGAAGGAAGGTCCGCTCGGTCTTACCGCACAAGTCCACGTCCTGAGCACAGCGAGCACTGTCCCCGGTGCCCCTTCTGAGCCATCTGTCGGCAGAAGTGGGGACTGAGTGGAGCTGGTGAGCCGCTGATTTCCTTTCATCTTTGCCCAAAGTTGCCAGCGCCCGTGATTGCACGTGAACCTGCGTCGGTGTAACTGTCCTACGTTTCTTGACGCTGGCTGTAGTGAAAGTCACCCGAGACACTTTGACAGAACATGAATGCCTGCCCCCCACACTGCATCAGAGTCTGCGAGCCAGCTCCCTGGGACTCTGTCCTGTGTTGGGAAAGTTGGGCCTCCTGGTGGTTGTAATGTGCAGCTGGGGTGAGGGACCATGGTTCCATCAGTTGAGCACCAGAGATGTAAGCATGTTCTGTGTGTCTAGGTAAGACCGACTCTCCGACCCCCGCGGCTGACCTTTCCCTTGTGAAGCTGATCTCTTGTTGGCGAGACCAATCTGTGCAGGTACGGGCTTGTTCGTGCTCGGGAAGTTGCTGGAAGCTCCTTAGCGCCGAGGTTCGTTGGAACCTTCGCCTGGGGTGCACATGAGCAGCACCTCTGGTCCTCCGCAGGTGGGCTCCCCAGTCTCCTGCTGATGGCCTTATGCAGGGCCGATGATGGGCAGATGTGAGCTGTCACACAGGTGTGGTTTGTGGGGCGGTGGCTCATGCATCGTGGGTGGCTTCTTGTCCAATAGGGTTTCAGTTGGAGCCAGAGTTGACTGTTTTCATTTCAAAATGTGCCTGGTCGTGGAGGTCCCTTTGCTTGGGAATTTGTTTATATGAAATCAGAAAGCACTTTCCATCCTAAGAATTCCTGATCTGGGAGCTGGTTTGGAGAGCTGATTTCTTCGGGGTCCGAGTCCTCCTTCCTCTTCTAAAGCTTCTTTGGGTTCTAGAACCCACTGTAGCTTTGTGCATGGCTCAGTAAATGCCTGTCACTGACTAAGTGACCTTTCAAGGGGATTTTACTCTGCATCATGAGCTTGATGAATATCACATTTGGGAGCTAGCATCAGTAACTCCAATGATAGGCAGCTATTCTTGGTTATAGGGAAACAGAGTTACATTGACATCTGTCTTAGTTACTTTTCTGTCATTGCTGAGACAAAATACCTGACACCCAAAATTAAGTAAGGAAAGGTTGATTTAGCTCACAGTTGTGGAGGTTTCAGTCCATAATCAGCTGGCTCCAAGGCAAGGTGGCACATGGCAGAGGGTAACAGTTCAAGGCAGCCAAGGACAGCAAAAGCAGCAAGATCAAAAGGGGGAGAACAAGCCTCTTTCCCTCCCTTACACTGTGTGCAGGCTATCCACCCATGCCGTCTGTGTGTCCTCCTGTTCCACAAGCTCAGGAAGTTTACAAAGTGAGGACCCTGGCCCCCTCCTGAGTTAAACTTCTCAAGTTCACACAATGAACGGACCTTTACAACAGCCAAAGACCGAATACCTCCAGTTGGGATGACAATGAGGATTCCTCATATGGCCCCGCATTCTCCCGGGGTTGGCCACGCGGCTGCAGCCTCCTCTCATTCCCCTGCCCAGTTCTCGCCCTGCTGTGGCTCCTCAGCGTTCTTTGTGTTTCCAGACCAAACAGAACTCATTTCCTCCAGGTCTTGCTGTACTCTCAGGCTTGAGTTTTCCTTCCTGCATTTCTACCCATCTTTGCCCTGAACCCGCCCAGCCGGGGAGATCTCTCTGACCACTCTGCCTACTGCCTCCGCACTGCCTGCTTACTGGCTCTATGTCCCTCGCTGTGGTTGCTCTCCGCAGAAGTGACACATGTCCTCACAGCTCGCTCCTCCTCTGTCTTCTCCGTTGTGTCACCTTGCCGAGGGCGGGGCCTCGTTGGTCTCACTGACCCCCGCACTAACTGGGGTGACAGCAGCAGCCAAGAACTATTGAATGAATGAATGAATGACTACGAGACATTCTCTGTAACAATCCGGTGAGCACCAGAGCGTGCAGGCTCTCCAGCAGATTAGCATTGCCTCCAAAGGGCCTAGTTTTAAAGGTGAGATTTTCTTTCCCCAGTAGCTGAAGAATTTCTCAAGTGGGCAAAATTCCTTAAGAAAAAGGACTCAAGAAAATCCAAAGGTTTTTTGTAGGTCACTTAACTTTTAACTACATTTTGATGTGGCTTGGGCATGTTTGGACTAATGGACCTGTGAGGGTCTTTGATTCAGTGACCGCGTCTAAAATGCTGGCAACAGAAGAGACGTTAGCAGAGCACTTACTGACCGCGCGGGGATCCTCCCGTCTTGGCACCACCCTGTGCGTGATGCTGCACAGTAGATTTCACTTGTTGTTGCCTTTCTAAAAGGTCTTTATATAAAGTGGGAGGGAGACTTTCCAAACCCTCAAGAGCAACAGAGATTCTTGTATTTGTTTAAATGCCTCAGTAACTAGGCCTAAGTTTTGTTCGTTTGTTTCTTCCCCTAACAATGGGCCTAAACCCAGGGCCTTCCCACTAAACTATATCCACAGCCCTTTTTATATTTCATTTCAAGACAGAGTCTAGCTGAGTCACTGAGTTCCCCAGGGTTGGCTAGAACTTGCCTGCCTCAGCCTCCCAGACTGCTGGGATCACAGGTCTGTTCTACCATGCCTACCTAGCTCTAAAATACTTTATTTTTTATTTTTTTGCTCTAAAATTCTTTCTAAGACTAACGCTGTTGCTACCAGTTCTCACTCAACAAAATTTATCTACTGCATTTATATATTAGAAAGACATAAGCCTGGACAGTTAAAAGCTATCAATAAATTATACTTACCACACTTTACATGTTTAGTGTGCACAGAACAGCATGTATTGAGTGCCTTCTGCATACAGATGTTGTAGTAAGATTACTGTGTGCTTGCTGCGTGGGCCCTTCTCTCTGGATGGGAGTAATACTGATTATTGCTTTCTTGCCAAGCCTGAAGTGCATGCTTTACTTCCAGTTGGGTGTACACCACTTACTACACACTTTCATCTGCTGTGACTCTGAGTATCCTTGTTACAGGGAATCTGTTTTATCCCATTATTGTTATTACTTAGTTTTTGATGATACATTGATTATAATAGTATGCATTTGTAATGATAACTGTGAGGAAGTCAACAGTTAAAAATTGTAGTCATGGCATGTAAGCTTAATAATTAAAAGTATTAAATGAAATTGCATAAATCTATACATTTACATTGTTACAGGGTATTGTATCTCAGGTGAGGGAAGCCACCTGCCCCTGAGCACATGTGGCCGGCCGGCTATTGTGACGACCGCGCTGGTCCTGGACATCGTGGTCCGGAGTCCAGGCCCCTGATGGAGAGGCGGGGGCTGAGCATGCTCTGTACACAATCCGCCCAGCCCCTCTCCACTCTCAGTTCTGGTTTCTAGGCTAGAACTGAAGCTTCAGAAGGGCTCGGACTCCTCAGAAGTGGCCTGGAGTCCTGGCAGAAGCCTGCGACCCCGTCTGTCTGTGTAACTGTCCCTGTTCGTCACTGTAAAGTGAGGTCCTAGACCGCTGGGGGTGCCGGTGCCCAGCGGTGTGACCTGTGGAAGACCACAGAGGCTCCTGCACGTTTTGCTGTTGAAGTCCTTTCCTTAACCTTTTGTGTTTAAAGTAGTTTAAATTCAGTGCTTCTAGCTAAATAACGCCTCAGAACTGGACTTATCTGGAGGTGCTAGCCTGGTCCTTAAAAGCGGTGAACTACCTTTGTCTTCCGATGACACTGAGAACAGCTTAGTTAGAGGAGCAGGAAACTCCAGCGTCCCTGTTGGAGCACCACACATGCAGAGCGGTTTGATCGCGAGGTTACTACCGCCATCCCAGCTGCTGTGCAGGCCGCTTCGAGCTGCATAGAAAAATATGATTTCTAGAAAGCCAGTTCAAACCAGATTCTGAGCTTTGGGTTCTTTACATCACAAACACTGCCACTCATTTTGAAACAAGCAAAACCACTCTGCAGGTCACTGAAGCGATCCAAGCTGTCCTGCTGGCCGAAGTGGAGCAGCACTTGAGGAGTCTGAGGAAGACCCCAGAGGACAGCTGTGTCACGTGCCCGGGGCAGAGAGACGGCAGGAAGCAGGTGCAGGCTGCGCCCGAGCTGGGCCGGGCCGAGGACCTGCAGCCAGGGCCGCTCCGGAGCGCTTCGCCTGTGCAGTGTGAGTACGCGGCTGTGGCCGCCGGCCGTGCCTGCGCGTGCTGCTTAGAGCGCGCTGAGTGTCGTTCTGTTCTGGTCGTTCCCCTGGGGATTGCTTCCTGTGACTGTAAGGCTTAAGAGCTTCTAGAATTTATTGTAATCATAAATGTTTCCTAGAGCCAGTATTTATTTTATGAATAGCAATGCTTTGAAGTTAAGTGATAAGAAATGAAGACGGAATTAACAGTACTCGCCTAGAGGAGGTGGATTCCGAGGAGGCTCTAACTAGCACGCGACCTGTATTTGATTTCACTTTGTACTTGATAATAGCCATGTGCTCATTTTTCTTTTCTGTGGATGGGAAATATCATGTAGAAAATAGAACTGGTTTTATAATTGGGTCATTTGATTTTATAATGAACTTTGTTATTATAAATTCATAATAATAATGCGCATCATTTATGGTTAGCAAGTGAATCTAAATTTATGTTGTGAAGTGTTATCTGAGTTTTATAGCTTATTATCCATGACTTAAAAAGGAAATTAAAAGCAGCAAAAAACTTATTACAAACTTAATTTTCAATTTAATAGGCTTTTGGTGACTATATTAAATGAGTGTTTTTTCAGAAAACAACATATTGCAAATGTATATGTTATCTATGTCCTTCTTTTGCATCTCAAAAGAGATTTTAGCTTTTTTATTTAGGACTGAGAAAAATGTTCCTAAATTTAAAATGTTAGATCCCGGAATAGGTATCAGGTATCATTCCTTTTTGTTGTTTTTTTTTTTTTTTTTGAGACAAGATCTCACTATGCAGTTCAGTTCAGGCTAGCCTGGTAATCACGGTGTTCCTCCTGCCTCAGCCTCAGAAGTGCGGGGATTACAGGTGTGAGCCGCCACTCCAAGCCTACTGTTTTATAAAATTACTCATAGGAGAGTGTTTTGTAGTGGGAGATGAAAAAGTGTACTTAGGAGAAGTCAAAGATCCAAATAAACAGAGGGCTTCTTAACCCAGGATGAAGGCAGATTTGTTGGATATTTGACAAAGCTGAGTGGTCATTCAGGTCGTTGGTCAGGTGGTTGGTTTTGCAGACATGAGCTTTGATTATGTAGTATGCTCATCTCTGAAGAAGCTTCCTTTTCATGTCACGTAACTGTAGCTGCATTCCACCTGCACCTCCTGGGTTAGAAATTCCTGGCGCACTGTCACGGTGATGCTCGGCCAGCTCTGCCGTCACATGATGGCCCATATTTGCCGTCCTGCGGGATCAACCTGCTCACTCCTGGGCATAAGAAGCGCTGCTGGGGGGTCCAGTCTGACCATGACTAAAGATGTCGGGGTTTTTAGTTTGGTTTCATCTGCCTTTGACCAAGTAGGTAGGAGCCTTTCTTTGCCTATGGTTAAAGAAAATTCTGGTTAATTTGTGATAGGAACTGGAACACAAAGTATTAAAGCTCCTCTCTATATTGGTGGGTGAAATTTAAAATATTTTATTTTAAAAGCCAAAGTTATTCACAATATATTGAATGTGTATTTTCTACAGAATTACTATTTTCGGGAAAGTATTGACTGAAATTTCAATTAAGTGGAAAACATAGGAGGCTTTGAAGAGGGAATTCTCCAATACTATTAAATGAATATAGCCCTTTTCCTCTTTGGGAAAAGATTTATTTTATATATAAAGTATTCAGAATGTGCCAGATTACAGGATAAAGTTTTAGACTTTCATTATGTTGTGATGAAGAACATCACACGATAGTATTTTAAAAACAAAAACCTGTTTTGTTTTTTTAATTTGAAACGTCCAGATTTAAGGAGGTGGTGTAGGGGCCACTCACTGGTGTGCTAATTCCTCAAATTTCATAGGCAGATTTCCTGAGCCCAGTGTCATGGCAACACATAGCATCCTCCAAGACACCCTGAGGTTGAAGGTGCGTGTGGTCTCCTGGTATCACACCTTGCCTATTTGTCTGCTGTGGGCTCCCTCCTCCCCGTTTTTTTTTTTTTTTTCCTAATTTCATTTATTTGGGGTTTTTTTTCGGTTTATTGGTGCCACTAGGGATTGAACTCAGGGCCTTCATGCTGAACTACATCTACATCCTGCTTTTATTTTTTATTTTGAGTCAGGGTCTCGGTCACTCAGTTGCCCAGGCAGGGCTGGAACCTCCACCTACTCTCTTGGAGTGCTGGGATTACAGGTGTGCACCACCATACCTGGCAGGTGATGCATCTTATTTGTGAATCCATTGGAAAGTAAAAGATGGCTTTGCAAAGCACAAAAACTTCTTTTATGCTAGAGTTGAGTGTGTTTGGTTTATTAGCATTATGATAATATGGCAATAGTCAGAAAGAAAAATTAATAATAGCAACTGTTGAGCTCTTGATATATCCTCACAGTATGTGAAGTACTTTTGAATGTCATCTCATTGTGTTCTGTACTTCTCACCTAATCCCCATGAAACCTGAGTCTCTACTTCCATGGCCAGGCCCTTGTGCAGGTTGCTTCATGGCTTTGTAGTAGTCCAGAGAAATGTTGGAGAACAAAGATCCACCGGCAGCCCCGGGTTTGTCCCAAGAAATTACCACTGTCAGCTCTCTGTTGGCTATCTGGGATATATATGCTCATGCACGCTGAGATAAACAGTGTTAAAATAAATGTTAGAAAATCAAATCCATCACATTGGCTATCCTGAGTTCCACCAGTGACGTACGTGCCACCCTGAGAGAGACTCCATGTTACCCACAGTGTGAACAGGCTGGGCTCAGGGGATGAGATGTCTTGCTTGTAGCCACAAATCCCTAACACAGGACACTACCCTCTTCTCTAGGAAGCTGCATTCTCTATCCTGGCAGTGGGAGGGAAATTTGCTCTAAATCAGACTGATCTGAAAATTGAATAATTTATTGAGTGGTTTTCTTAGATTTTGATTCCTCTCTCATAAATCATACTTTCTATTACCAGAGAAAGTGCAGAGCATTCAATCTTTGCCATCTCGGCCCTCGCAATAAAGAAAATCGCAGGGTTTCTGGAGCTCTTTGTAGGAGAAGCACTGGAAATCAAGTGAAGTGAGAGTCGCAGCATCATGCGAGTTCCAACTCTGTCTTCTGCATCTTATTTCCTCAGAGTTTTCACTTAAAACATTTCACAACGTGTATTTTGTTCCAGGTCTTAGTATTTGTGTTCTGGTGTTTTATGTGGGAGTGGTACATTTTATCTGAGTTTACATTTTCACACTGATTACATTGCTTTCTTCCTGGAATCTCTTCAATAAGAAATTATACAATTAATACTCACATTTAAACTCCAAATTTATTGCTTTAAAAACATCTATGGCTTCTATTATTAAAGTACATTTGAATGTTATTTTCCTTTTTTTTTCTTTGCAATGTTATTTAGATCAGTTTGAACAAGTAGTCTAAATTGTTCCATTAAATAAATTAGTTGAAATAGAAATGGGGGCTTTGTAGATAAAACTGTCACCCTAGAATTATTGGTTGAATTTAAATTTCACCTTAAACTGTCGCTGTGAAAAGAATGGATAAGATCGTGGAGATTACAAATAATCTGTATTATATATTCATATTCGTAAGAATGATCAAAGATTTACCTAGAAAATTAAGTGGCAAAATGTGCTTTTTATTTAAATATAAGCATGCACTATTTGTAAAGCAAAAAATAATCATGTATTCTACAAGGCAGCATCTGGATGATCCTGGCCGGTGGGACCAGCTGGGGCTGGCTTCCTCTGCCCGGTGGGCTGCAGACGACTCTCACAGGAGGCTGTTCCTTGCCTCTTCTTATTGATAGTAAACCCAAGCTGATCCACCCACTACCAGGTCTCTAGAATGGCGGTGAGTGCCCTCCTGCCCCCAGCTCCTCCTGTAAAGTACCCTGACCCGCACCACTATTTAATCGGAGGGCATGTGCTTCAGTCGTTACTGGCACATGGGCAGGGCCAGGGACCTTTATAGGTTACACAGCCAACACCAGAAGTGGCTGAGGAACCTCTGTCACCTGATAGGGACCACTGTTCTCGTGGCAGGAGTAGCCACACAAGCTGCACCCCACCTACGCTGCTTTCTGTGCTGATCCTGCATGAACTACTCTTGTGTGGTCCGTGGAGGCAGCAGTCTCCCTGGCTCTGATGCACTGTGCACTGTACCCAGAGTTGCTAACCACACTCAACACTGTGGAGTCCAGCTGGAAGCAAACTCAACATTGCATGGCAAACCAATAACCAAAGACACATCTTCAAGGGGAAGCTGCTTCCTTGAGAAGGTCATCTTAGAAAAGGTATCTATACAAGTTCCAATGGAGGCGCAAACCTCAACATAGGAATGCAAGAAGAGGAAGAAACAAGGGAATAGGACACCTCCTAAGGATTACAGCTCTCTGCTAACAGATTCTAAAACATCAAAGTGTTGAAATGCCTGATAAAGAATTCAAAACAATGATATTTAAAAACCTCAGTGACATCCAAGAGAGAATGGATCAACAGTTACGTGAAATTAGGACTAAAATGCAGGATATAAATGAGAAATTCAGCAGCAAATATTTCAAAAAAAAAATCTTGAAAATAAAGAGCTGAGTAAACCAAATAAAAAATTTAGTTAAAATCATCAACAAAAGGCTAGGTCGAGTGTTAAAAGAATGCCAGAAGATAAAAGCAAGTCTTTCAAATATCACTTTCACATAAAAACAACAAAAAAGGAAAACAATTAACTATTCAAGAACTTTGAATACCATTAGGTGATTAAGCATTCATATCAATGACATATCTGAAGGTGAGGAAATAAAGATTAAAGACCTAGAAACTTATTCAGTGAGATAGTTGGAAACATCCCTAATCGTGGGAAAGATACAGACACCCATGTGTAGGAAGCTGGGCAGACGTGACCAGCAAAGGTTCCCACCACAACACGTTATAGTCACACTGTCCGGAGCACAGAACAAGAGAGACTTTCAGAATCGGTTAGAGAAAAGCACTGAATCACATTTAAGGAAAACTTTTTTAGACTA